CATCAAAGGCAATCAAAACCAAAGTCAAACTCAGTACCATCGAGTCAGTTCCAACTCATCGCGACCCCCTCCCCCATTGGGTTCCTGAGGCAGTGAATTTTTACAGAAGTAGATTGCCCCATCTTCCTTCCAGGGAGCAGCTGGTGAGTTTTGAACCACCAGCCTTCTGGTTAGCAGTCAAATGCCTTAGGCATGGCACCAAACAGAGCTCCTGTCAAAGATAATAGAAGGCAGAAAAGTGGTTACCACTGGGTGGACGTACGCACGGGAAGAAGCATAAATCCAGCTGCTGTCTAGGCGACTGTGACTCACAGCGAGCCAGTGTGTGTCATAGAACCGTGTGCAGAGTGTGTATATTCTCAGTGAGAACACCCCAGACCCAGACTAGCCGTTGGCTGCCTGGCCCTCTGAGGGCTTCTCCAGGAGACTGTCAGTTGTCCGCCCCCCACCACCACCACCTGAGGCTGCTGACTCACCATCTGGGGGTGGGGCCAGGCTGTACGTATTTTTAAAAAGCTACCCAGGTGAGTCTGACGTGTCCCTCCCACTAAGAACCGTACTTGTAATGATTCTATTGTATCTTTCACAAAAAAAAAAAAAAAATTGTAGCCCACCTCAAATTCTCAGACAAGGACTGAACAATAAATTAGACATTTAAATGCAGTGTGGTTGCAGCATTGTGGAACACATTTGTTGTCCTTTGGTAACTTCTGTATTGCTCAGAAAATGCAGCCCCGCTTCAGATGACATTTTCATTCCAAAGGGCAAGGTGGGGGTGGTGGGTGGGTGGAATTTTATAAATGACTGAACAAGTTGCCTTCCACTGTCAAAATTTTTAATTAAGATTTGAGACTTCCTATCCTCGGAAGGAAGATGGGGCAATCTACTTCCGTAGTGATACTGCCTCGGAAACCCAAGGAGGAGGGGTCGCTGTGAGTCTGGAGAGATAGCACATAACAACAACAACAACATCCTTATCTGAGGAGCTCTGGTGGCATAGTGCCTAAGGCATTTGACTGCTAACCAGATGGTTGGTGGTTCAAACCCACCAGCTTCTCCATGGAAGGATGATGAGGCAATCTATTTCCATAAAGATTTACCACCTTGGAAACCCAGTGGGGGTCACTGTGAGTTGGAATCTACTTGATGGCAATGAGTGTTGGTTTTATCCTTATCTGCAAAGGAGCCATGGTGGCGCAGTGGTTGAAGCACTCTGCTGCTAACCAAAAGTCGACAGTATGAACTCTCCAGCCACTCTGTAGGAGAAAGATGTGGCAGTCTGCTTCTGTGAAGATTTACTCTCTTGGAAATCCTATCTCTGTCCTATGGGGTTCAGTGTGAGTTGTAATCGACTTGACAGCACTGGATTTTGTTTGGTTTGGATCCTTATCTACAGAAGAATGGAGGTTTACCTGGAGCTCTTTAAATATGATGAAGGACCGAATGTGTGAGACCCTTGTCTTCCTCAGTGTACCTTGTACCTCAGTCTAGCAGCCTTCCTGGTCTTGGTGTTACTTCTTCTTCTCAGCCTTTATGGTCCCCAGAGACGTAGTTCTCAGGTCTCTGATCTGCCG